CTCAACAGAGCATCCATGGCAACCATGATACCATGATCCGATGCATGCTGACTCCAAGGGGGGGTGGGGGAGGGGGGCATGATAGCGTCCATGGTCTAATGCATTCTGAGCACAAAGCATGCATGGCCCAACCATCATAACGTCCATGGTCTAATGCGTTCTGAGCACAAAGCATTCAGTGCCCCACCATGATAGCATCCATGGTTTGCCCAACCATGATAACGTCCATGGTCTCATGCGTTCTGAGATTTTTGCCCTGCCCGGCCCTTGGGTCTGCATTGTTCCTGGCAACCGTTCCCGAATCACGGCTTCTGGTTTCCGAAGGATGCGTCTGGTTTCTGATTCAGCCGTTCTGGTCTCCGAATCAGTCGTTCTGGTTTCCGAATCAGTCGGTTTGGTTTCTGGATCAGCCGTTTCGGTTTCCGATTCAGCCGTTCTGGTTTCCGAATCATGGCTGGTTTCTGATTCAGCTGTTCTGGTTACTGATTCAGTCGTTCTTCCGCCGAACCGACGGCAGGTGATGACCCTCGAAGGCTGGCCAGATGCCGCGCGGGCGGCTACAGACGTCGAGCCCTGGGTTTGGTGTTTCGGCACAAATGGTTGCGAGAGTGAAGGCATGTGAAGGCATCAGGATAGCTCTGCGGCGGCCCGGTTATGCTACAGTTCACCGCGCGCTGCATGTTGAAGATGTTTTCCTCGTCGTGACCCCCCAAGTGAAGATGCCTGAGCAAGCTGGCACCATCTGGCGATAGTAGACAAGTTCGCCAGCAGAGGCGACAGGATTCTTTAAGGACCTCAAGCGTGCAACACCAGCTTAAGATCGGCAGGGCGGGATGTATTACCTGGTGGAGTCTTGTCTTTCGGGAGGTCTGGTCTTGACTGAAACTCGACAGCCAGCCTACATGCTTGCAAATGTGTGAGGATCGTCTTTGTTGCGTTCTTGCTCATCACGACGTTCTCCATCATGAACATGATTGTTTCTGCGCTGCGCTCAGCTCCCGTGAGTCCGCTCGTCCAATCTTGCCATCGTCAGCAATGCAATTGTATCCGTCATCATTGTCATCATCTGCACATGACCGGAAATGCCAATGCCCTGAGAGGTCATTGTTGAGAGCACCCTGGAAGCTGCCTTGGACCAGAAGCTCCAAGCCATGCGTGACCAGGAGCATCACCAAGACTGCATCACGTGCGGTGCGCCAGAAACACGGACAGGAATACCAAACTACGATGGCTGCCGTGAAGGTTGACGAGGCTCAAAGCTGCACACGTAGGGCTTTCCGGAATGGATGCATAGCCATGCTTCGCCGGCATGTGTGGCAGGGCGGACCATTCAGCCACTTGCACTAACAGTGCTGCACGAGGTTTTTCGACGTGCTGATGGAAATGGGGACGGTCACATCACAAAGGACTGCCTTGGCAATCCCACGGCTCACATCAGATGGAAGCTCTTGTACAGATTCGTCGAAGTAAGTCATTGCAATGACACAGTGAGACCAATTTCCAGGAAGAGCTTATGCAAGCTCTTCTGAAGCCGGATGTGCGTCTCTACCTGCGGGAAGTTGGCATTGACATAACCAATGCGGAGTTCATTTTCGACGTGGCTGTTGCAAATTATATACAGAATGGTGCTTCAATGCGTTTCGTCGAGGCTAGTTGAGCAGTGATTAGCTTGCCGTGCAGGTGGTAAGTGGTGTCAGTGTCAAAGCGTGATTACCTGAAAATCCTAAGTTTTGTTCCCTCTTAATAATGTGCTACATGTCTAAATGCACACAGTGCTGGGTTGACATGGCAGTCCAGATCGGAGACTGCGCGCATCCCAGGTCATTGACTACGACGGCTCTGGGGAGCTGGAGTACAAGGAGACCTTTTTGCAGTCGTAGCAATACTTAAGGGCTTCTGGGCAGGTGTTGGGTTAAAGCGGATGTAGTTGCGAGGCTCAGTACGAAATTTGGAGCAATGGATGGGCTATTCTGCGACGCATCGATGCTGTCCCTCCTGTTCTTGCATTCCAAGCAAACGTGTTTTGTTTCCATGGCATCACTCACGTCTAAGTGGAATTGACAGCTCTTGTGCAGGAGTTTGCTCTGGGACTGGTCAAAGCACGTGGTGAGGCGAAAGCCCAGGACCGGCCTCTGACTTGCCGCTGCGAAACTGTTCGACTGGAATGTTCCGGTATGCAACTCAAATTCTCGAAACCAGAGCAGCGATCTACAACTCGGAGGGACCACACTGCTTCATAGCCGGCCAACGTCTAAAATTATTTGTAGCGTTTTGAATCCCTGGTCGTTGACCAGATAAACCTGTCGCAAATGGCGAGTTGAATTTCGGTGCTGTGAGTGGTGATCGTCTTCAGCCTGCAGCGGCAGATGGTACATGGCAAGGGCCTACAGCACTTTCCGAGCGCCTTACGGCAGAGCACTGCATGTTTCTGGCGTCTGCACCGTTTGAAAAGGCGGTGGGGTGTCGGTGTAGACCTTACCGGAGGCCACAAAACATGCTATTGTGATTTTGTTTCTGGTTCATTGAACTACTTCGATTCGGTTTCCAACGAGTACATATTCAGATTCGATTTCACTGTCAACTCAAAGTCATCCCAGGTTTCTGGTGCTTGGGCTGGGAGGGGCGCCGGCCCCCCAAATCGGTGAGAATAGGTTCATTGACGAATCGATGTATCATTAGGAAACTGATCCAGTTCAGTTCAACTCAAGTTCGATTTGAAACCGTTTTAAAAGTTGAACAAAGCGGTATCAAGCGATTAGAAGAATTCGGGTGTCGATTCGGTTGGGGGCCCAGTTCCGAGCCCTTTTTGCGTGCCGCTCTTTTCGCCGGGTGTGGATGGCGCAGGGCCTCGTGAGTTTGGTGGGGAGCATATTCTTATTGTAGTAGTTTTAGTTTAAGGTTTCAGCCAGCATGGGCAGCATCCGCATGCAAGCTTCGGTCGTATTGGAACTGGGTGAAGCAGGTACTAAGCTACTATCAACGAAAATCACAACCTTTGCCAGGCATTGCCAGCCGTCAGTATTCGTGGAGGAGTTAGCCCTCGTCGCAAAGACTGTAGAAGCCTAGAAGGGTTCGACGTGCGTGTGCTTCCTGAGTCGTGATCAGTGGTAGGGCTTTGCGTGGCGCGGTCTGTTCGGAGATTTTTTGTGAGGAAGTGTTGGCGCTGCAGTCTGGCCCTCAGCTCTAAAGAACAGTATGGGTGGCGTCACAGTCCAATTTACATGCAGCAGGCGCAGGCATATAGACTTGTGAAATGTTGAGATGGATGAGTCGTGCCGCCAAGATGTGACCTTTGGCGGCGGGAGCGAACTCTGCGAAAGGAGCTGCAGACAGTTTGCGGCTCACTTAGAACTTTTCCAATTACTCGTTTCGACTTTTTGCATCTTTGTGCAAGGGTCTGTATTTTCAGGGTTGCGCTTGGAGCATGGTTGCTTCCAAGCTCGCGTTGGCAAGGCCGTTCGGCGTAATTCCTGCTGATCACGTACTATTTCGGTGCTTTGTCCTACTTGTACCTTGCATTCCACGGAGGCTTCTCCTTGCGTGTTGAATGCCCTTCTCGGTAGGTCCTTGCAATGCGGCCAGAAGCGCATTATGCCTTACACCCATGTTTGGAGTTCAGCACTGCTTCTTTTGTTACCCGCCAGCGGGGGGGTTGCGCCTATACACCGTGCCTGTGCATGCCCTCACGAGAGTCGGTGTGGAATCGTGTGGGTGTTATAATGTGGTATATACTGCTGCGTGTCTGTCCGTGCAATGCGGACTGGGGACATTAGCATGCATGGCACATCAAGATCTTGTAGATGGTCATCCTATGTCATCCTGGGTGTCGTTACATCATAAGGTGTCACAGTTGACTCGCGCATGCGCTCCATCGATGACGCCCTGGAGTCGTTGCGGAACGACTTGCAGGCGAACTCGCGGACCGGTTGAGTCGTTGCATGTCGTTACCGAGGCTTCAGGGAAAGTGCTACTGATTTTCCGTGCAGCAAGAATAGAAGTCGCAACCTGCCCGGGCCTGCAAATAGGTTGAGCTTGCCGCGAATGCCGCATGTGGAGTATTGTGGAGTCCTGTGGGCACTGCTCAATTGTCTTGACGTGTTACGGTAGCCAGGTTGTGGATAGTGCTCTGCGGATGAGGTCTCTTCAGCTTCAGTAGTGTCTAGTAAGTAGTAGTGTGACCGTGTAGAAGATGGTCAGACTGCAAATGGCATCAATCAAGGGTTTCTGGCTGCCCGCCTGAAGCAAATCGGTTGATGCAGAGTCCAGGAAAATAGGGTGTAGGTACGGACCAAATAAGGAGTTTATGAAGACAACAGCACTCGTCGAACTTTCTGACCACCTTCCCACAGTTTCCGTGCCGGTTAATTATGATGAAGTGGAAGCTCCCCAAAGGGGATGCCTTCTATACAGTCTCTGAACACATGTAGGATGCCCATATGTTTTTTCCGTCTGATACGACTTCTTCACATCTTGTAAACAGTAAACATAATCCACGCAGTGAAGATGCTTATGTCATAGCGACCTGGCAGTGATGCAGGCACAATGCCAGCTCCGGACAAGAGTTCTGTGTCACACCTAATTGGGGCCTTTATACCCCCCCTCATTCAACGCGCAGTTCAACGAGGGAAAACTCCCCGCTGTGACTCTCTGTTCGAGCAGATTTTTGGCACAGTAAAATGCCACCGTGTTCGCAGGAAAGGAGCATCTCAACGCAGGTGGAATGATGCAAGAACTTAATGGCTTTCGGGCGATTGGCATCTTTGAGAAAGCTAAAGCATGTGCCTCCCGAGCTTCTCATGAAGCGAGGGCAGAAAGGTTGTGAGAGTTCTTGTCAGTGTACATCGCAGTCAGCAACAAGCAAGTCGCGCACAGGTGCGCGCAGCATCGAGGACAAGTAACTTGATCATACCTTTCGTTTCCAAGCCTTCAAGTCAGTCGGAGTCTGCCGCGCTCCCATTCAGACAGACTAATGGATCGTAGTGGACTCTGTTCCATGAGAACATTGATCCTGTGTGCCACTCGACCGAGTTATCCCCAGTCAGCCGGTGCTGCCAAAGCATTCCGGATCTCCAGGAAGTCTGAATGCATGGAAGCTTGGCTTGCGCAATGGTATTCAATTTTGCTGCTCTGCTGCTGCTGCTGCTGCTGCTGCTACGCAGGGCCTCTTGAAATTCGGAGTTCCGACTCCTCTGCAGGCATTTGTGCAAGGTGAGTTTTTTGGCTCTATTTAATTGCACACGTGCGGGTATTGGATGTCATGCTAGCCGCTGTGAGTCTATGAGCATGCCATCAGTCAGTGCTAAACTGATGCAGCGGACGATTTCTTCGAGAGTATACATACACATGCAATTAATTATGATGCACGCTTCTCGAGATGCCGAGGCTTTTCTACATTTGATCTTTCCGATCCTGCGACCCTGTGTCGTCTTGACTCTGCAGGCAAATGACCGCATGGTCGACCAGCTTTGCACTCGGCATAGGGTTTTGCGTGTCTCTGTAGAATTGTGTCAACAAAAGTGGCTCATTAGCGAAGATTCTGGAACACAGTGCCTCTCGTTGTTGCACCAGACTGGAGCACTTTGGAACTCTTCGGTCACCCGCCTGCCGGAAGCTCGGCATATTGATAGTCTCGGCCCTGGACCCACGACAGTTTGCATTTTTCATCGAGAGTGTCTATGGGCTTTATAAAGTCCATCATTCAAAGGTATGACTGTGGAAAGGCACAGCCAAATATGCTTGCGCAAAACTGCTGCGACGGCACAACGGAAATATTGGTTTCTGGGGCCTAAATTTTGGATTACCATTATTATACAACAACAACTACTACAACAGCAGCAACAACAACAACAGCAACAGCAACAGCAATAGCAATAGCAATTGCAATTGCAACAGCAGCAGCAGCAACAGCAACAACAAACAACGACAAACAACAAACAGCAAAACACAATACCATCAAACGACAATCAAGAACCAACAAGCAACAGACTACAAGCAAAAAGCACACAAGCAACAAACAAACAAACAACAAATAAGCAACCAACAAGCAACAGTTTTTTTCAACAATTTTTCATTGACTCGCAGCGGGAAAGTCCTCGACATCTCGGTTAGTCATCCTCGCTTTGCGACGACTCAGCTATTGCGGTCCCTCGGGGAGTGACTCCACCTCAATGCTTGCCTCTCTACTTTGCAGCAAGCCTAGCAGAGCTGACTCCCCGCCCCTAAGGGCAGCAGGAGCCGCGGATGATGATAACCTGCTTGGAACAGACGCGCTGGACATCGCT